GGCTTCTGTTCAAAAACAACAAGGCGCTTGTCGGCTTCTGCAGTAAAACGTGAACTCGATGCCTTGAAAGTGGACAAAACCGGCTTTTTTGACAAAACGTGTTTAGGGTTCAGATTGCGCTATATGTGGAGAATAATGCACGGCATTTTTTTTTTTTAAAGTGCCGATTATCGGTTTTTGCAAATGAACTCTTCAGATAAAGCTGATTTGACACCCTGAACGCGCCACACACCCATTGATGATCTCCTTGTTGTCTCCTCGTATGTAGTACTCCTGCTCTGGGGTGTTGATGCACAGAGCGTTCTTCTGTCCGGTTCTGGCCTCAGCGTCGATCACATCGGTGCACAGGTTCATGTTGACCGTCCCTTGCGGTAGCGTGCTTGGCTGTGTGCGACAACGGATGACAAGTTAACTTTGACAAAAGTCTAGATTCATTTAGTCAGAAAGAGACAGAAATGGCTCAGTTATTACACTAACACACAATAGCAAAAATTCAAGGGCAAAGAAGGTTCATGGTCTATTATAAAGCATACAAGAACCGGTTACAAAGCTGAATCCAATGCTAAATCTGGTTGGTAAATTACATATTGCATGAATGATATCAATTAATGATGTTGCTAAATTTAATACTGCCAGAAAAAAAAAAAAAAAAAAATCACAGATATATATGACTGTGGTTTTTTCATACATCAAAGGATGAGTAAAAATATATATGTGACCCTGGAGCACAAAACCAGTCATAAGGGTAAATTTTTCGAAATTGAGGTTTATACATCATCTGAAAGCTGAATAAATAATCTCTCCATTGATGTATGGTTTGTTAGGAGAGGACAATATTTGGCTGAGATACAACTATTTGAAAATCTGGAATCTAAGGATGCAAAAAAAATCTAAATATTGAGAAAATCATCTTTAAAGTTGTCCAAATGAAGTTCTTAGCAATGCATATTACTAATCAAAAATTAAGTTTTGATATATTTACGGTAGGAAATTTACTTACATGATCTTTACTTAATATCCTAATGATTTTTGGCATAAAATAAAAATGGATAATTTTGACCCATACAATGTATTGTTGGCTATTGCTACAAATATACCCCAGCGACTTAAGACTGCTTTTGTTCTGCAGGGTCACATATCGTGATCTATATTTGAATCATTGACCCAAACGTCTTTGTCACTGAACCTCACTGTCTGCGTTTTCTGCTGAAGTAGCTTGTTATAGAGCAACAGTTTCTGAGTAAACAGGTACGTCACCGATATATTCCTCATATCATTAAATCAGTGCTGCAGCAGCCGTGATCGTTACTGTAGTGCTGAAGCCATTGTTCCCTGATGCTCCAGTCCTGCCAAACGCGTCAAACATGCCTTTATTTACGCCTGTCACCCTGCTGTGCTTTGAGAGGCATTAAAGCTGTACTGGAGCCACACCGGACCCCCTGCAGCTGGTCTAATGACTGAGCAGATATATTACGGTCCCTTATCAACAATAAGAACACTGTCAGAGAGCTCTTCAATGACCTCAACAGCTCAGGACTGTAACCTGTACGTTCCCTCATGCAACTGTGTGCGTTCTCATCCATGCACTGTACATGGGTGCTTTACACGGGTCAACATATATGCACAAAACCAGTCGAAGGTTTAGGGGTCAGTAAGGTTTTTTTGGAAAGATTAATACTTTTATTCAGCAAGGACGCATTAAATTGATTAAAAGTGACAAAAACATTTACAATGTTACAAAAGATGTCTATTTCTTCTGAACTTTCTGTTCATCTGTGAATCCTGAAAAATAAAATGCATCACAGTTTCCACAAAAATATTGTGCAGCACGACTGTTTTCAACATTGATAATAATCAGAAATGTTTCTAATAATCAGCATATTAGAATGATTTCTGAAGATCATGTGACACTGAAGACTGGAGTAATGATGCTGAAAATACAGCTGCGCATCACAGAAATACATTACAGTTTAACAGATATGCACATAGAAAACAGCTGTTTTAAATTATAATAATATTTAGACATTTTTACTGTGTTTTTGATCAAATAAATACAGCCTTGATGAGCAGAAGAGACTTCTTTCAAAAACATCAAATAAAAATAAAAAAATCTTACCGACCCCAATCTTTCAAATGATAGTGTATAAAGAAAAGTGTGCATGTTTTCACAATTTTAAAATCAACTTTTTGACTTCACTTGTCTATCGTAAATGATCCTCTGGTGTCACTTGATTTATTTTTTAAGAATGTGAACTATGATCTCATTTAGTCTCAATTCTCACGAGGTCATAAAACTGCATGTATAAAAAAAAAAAAAATCTGAAAATCAGACTGTGCATGTGGTCCTTTCTTGTCGTTTTGGAGCTTGAAAACGTAAGTCAAACAGGTTTGGAATTATATGAGGATGAGTATATAATGGTATCATTTTTTGGGTGAACTGTTTCTTTAAAGCAGCGGTTCCCAAACTGGGGTGCGCGAGAGAATGATTTTGATGATCTGTGTGCAAACATGAGGCCCATCCTTCTCACTAAAAAAGGGTAGTAAGTTATAGTATTCTTAAATATTCTTTTTTATTTATAACTGAAATGTTGATATTTTCTAATACACAGTCAGGGCTTGACATTATCACTCGTCAAATGTAACACGGTCACTCCCACTTTGGCGGGTTGAGTTTTATATACAGTAACAGAGCTCGCCATTAATGCTTGTCTGGGTTAAGTGGATTTTTTTGAAGGGGCAAGTGAAAGAGAAGTTTACTTGTGTGACCGGACAACTAATCTGATTAAAACATCTAATTAGGGAAGCACTGAAATTTCGGCGAGAATGATTATGATTTTATTAGGTGTAAACAGTGATTAATAATGGATAATGTATTGACAGTATAACATGGTCGCGACAGATGAGACTCACGCAGCCTGTGTGTGTGAGACAAACCGAAACAAATGAACACAACTGCACACAGAAGAAACATCCTGCGGTAAATATGTAGGTTTTATATTTATAACATACACGACACGACCAAGGAGAGTGCCGTTCTCCCTGAAAACCACGATTGCAAATCTGACATTGATTTTATACAAGAGTTCAAATGAGTAGTTATTATTAAGTGACTTACATTTTAGACTGTTTTTGCTCGATTTGGTTAACGAAAATAGTTCCAAACAAAGATCGCAGCAGAACAGTCGTGCATCTCTGAGCGACACACAGCGGTGGTTCCTTACTGAATGATTCGTGTTTTTAATTAATTATTTGAGTCAATGATTCAGTGGTCCGTTCATAAAGACAGGCACTCGCTTCATTCTTGAATGAATCAGCCGTCTGAACTAATCGTTTGAATGAATGACTCAATGACTCACTCGTTAAGACAGTCACCTGCTGCCACCTACTGGCGGTTTACTTTCAAATTAAAAAGTAGCTTATCCTTGAATTTTTTCCAACATTTCATATTTGTGTATTTAAAAAAAAACACTGATTTAAAACACCAAGCTCATAACATTATTTATGCTGTTGTAATTTTGCAGCGTAAATGCATTCATGCTACATTTCAGCTTCATTAAACTGTGTGTAAATGCATCTAAATGCCACTTCTGTTTCTACTGCAGTGGAAAGATCGGTTTTGTTCATACTGATTTCATTTGATTGGTAACAGCCCTATAGTGTCTTACTATATTAAGTGAAATTTTCAATAAAATATTTAATATGAAAGATGATGCATGCAATTAATAAGGTTAGGGAAAATGTCCTTTAAATAGGCAAAAAATGAACTGAAATAAATTTTAGTATGCAGCAACTTTAGTCATAAAACGTAATTTCCCAACAACAAAATTGTGGCCAGTGAAAATGCTGAGTGGCTAGTAATTTTGGAAAACCACTCGCCACAGTGACTGGTGAGCAAACGAGTTAGTCAAGTTGACACGTGTCAAACGCTAGAAAGCGGCACACGCTTCAGAAAGTTTGTGAACCACTGCTTTAAAGCACCGGACTGAGATTTGGATTCCTTCATTGTTAAGATCCCGAGATTCACACTCGTTCTGCAGACTCGAGACGTAAAACAGGTGCCGTCCTTTCCTGATTCCTTTTATGGCCATTTTAAGTGATCTAGCTTTATTAAAAGCTGCCAGTAAACTCCAGAGAATGCCAAATATGGCAATTACAGTGCGTCACAGTTATAAACTGCAGCAGTGTTTCTGTTTCACTACAGAGTGAGTGCTGCGAATGGAAAGAAATCTGCGTAATGAGACACCAGCAGCGTAAGAACAGAAGACGCAACAACAACAAAGAATCTCACGTCACTCCACGGCCCCGAAAACACACAACGGGACATTTTTATCCCTTTGTTCCATCACAAATCATGATAGAAACCTAGATGTATCGGATTGCTAATTTCATATTATTTTATCCAGAAGGGCATTCAAGAACGAACACAAAACTGTAGCATAAATTCCTGTAGAAGAGCCAGTAGCCACAAGCGCACAAATAATTTGAGCTATGTGTGCTAAAGTTAGAAAGCAGTTCATTTAGGTCTTTGGACTCGCTTGGGTTGGGGGTGGGAGTCTTTAAGACGTCTTCAGATAAGAGAGGAAAATATTAGGCAATGCATGAAAAAGAAAAAAAAGAAAAACAGGAAGAGCAAATAGCTTGAACTACATCAAGGGCCCGGGCCAAACGCTAATGTGTGCTACAGTTAACGAATCCATCCCTCCCTGGCAGATTCCTCTGAGGAAGGATCTACTTTCTCAGAGACAGGGCACTTTATGGCACCCGTGTCCGGACCTTTGGAAACTCCATGTCTGGTCCCTGGATGGGACGCAGAGGTTCTAGGTGACCTTCCCCAGGAGGTAGTGGATACCATCACTTCCGCGCGAGCACCTTCTATGAGACAAGCTTACGCCTTGAAGTGGAACCTGTTCGTCGAGTGGTGTTCTTCTCACCGAGAGGACCCCCAGAAGTGTTCGATCAGCGCAGTGCTTTTCTTTCTGCAGCAGGGGTTGGAGCGAAGGCTGTCTCCCTCCACCCTCAAAGTATATACTGCTGCAATTTCTGCATACCATGACCCCATAGGAGGTAGATTGATAGGAAAGCACGACCTGGTCGTCAGGTTCCTTAGGGGGGCGAGAAGGCTGAATCCTCCTCAACCTTTCTCTATGCCTTCTTGGGATTTGGCCCTGGTGATGAGAGCATTCCAGGGTGCCCCGTTCAAGCTTTTGCAATCAGTAGAGTTAAAGATTCTATCTTTGAAGACTTTGCTCCTGGTTGCATTGGCCTTGATCAAGAGGGTAGGGGACCTGCAGGCATTTTCGGTCGACGAATCATTCCTGGAGTTTGGGCTGGTTGACTCCCATGTAATCCTGAGACCTCGGCCTGGCTAGTGAAAGAGAATTTCA